ACCAGCCAGGCCACCAGCATCTTGCTCCATCACCATGGACCACTTGAATCCGCTGGGAATTGCCTGGCCCCAGCTGGTCCTGGTGGTCCAGCTATAAGAATATGAGACTCTTCATCCCCAAGACACATAGGAACCATAATAGCCCCACCATGGTTTATCAGTTTCCATTATAAGAATTGTAGGGAAAGATTTGCAGGAGCCCACATGGGTGTCGCTGTGAGCCTGTAGGGAACACAGCCTGGCATCCCATACACCTGGTCCCACAGCAGCCATTGGGCTCCAAGGCTGAGATGTGACAGCACTTGTAGCATCTTCCCTTGGAGGTAAAGGGAGGCACCAGGGCACCAGCTGCCAAAGTGAGAGGCAAATCCTGTTTTGAGCAGCAATTCCCATTTTGCAGCAGCAGAGGCACAAATCTGGAATAGCAGCCTGGAAGGCAAAGCTGAAGCAGAGAAGCACAAACCCAAGAAACCCAGAGCATGGTGATACCCCAGCCGCAGCCCCCTCCGCAGCAGCACCAGGGGATGCGCTGGCAGCTGGTGCTCCTCACCCCACAGCACTGCGGGGCCCCCACCACCCGCACAGCATGGAGCTGTGCATGAATGCAAATGATGCTCCGGGCTGGTGCCAAGATCTCCTTGTTCCTTCCCCAATTTAGGACACCTCTTGGTGCTGCAGCATTCCCATAGCCGGGAGGCAGTTGCAAGGGTGTCCCCCCCATGCAGGGGACACAGACCTTCAGGCACCAGCCCTGCTGATTTTGGGGGTCAGTGGACTGTGGGGGGGGGGGGGGGGCACACCTTCCATCCCTGTCCTTCGGGCTCTGCACCTCACCAGTGCCCAGTGCACTTGCCAAGTTCAGCCCCATGGCCATGACCCAGCTCCATGCCGGTGGTGCCGCCACGCACCCTGTACCCGGGGCTGCCCCACGCCTGGCCCAGCCATGCTGACTGCAGGTGCCGCTGCTGCGGCTACTGCAGAGAATTCAGGCTCTTCCCAAAGAGGAGCAAGTGGAGCAAGGAGGAGCGAAATCGCTGCTGAGGTGAAGGAGACAGGGGCATGGGATGGAGAAGCTGCGAGGGAGCATCAGAAGAGCCTCACCAGACACACTGCACTCCTCCCATGGCCAAGGGGCGTGGGGGACCACAGTGCACATCCAATTTCCTCGCAGCCATTCCACATGGTCGTGGGGCTTCGGCTCCATTCCCTGGCTCACCCCACAGCCCTCCCCGGTCCTGGCTCCCTGACAAACTCCCACCGGCATGAGCAGGTTGCAGCACCGCTGCTCGCTTCCCGCAGCTCCACCATTAGTCAGCAGCCAAGGGAATCACTCAGAGACACAAGGTCACTCATAAACACCATCTGTCCGAGAACCGCTCCTCGCCCTGGGGAGAGCAGGAGGGAAATTACTGCAACACACCAGAGGCCACCGTCCCTCTCCACTGCCCCTGCTCCACGCCAGCCTACGGATGAGGGCACTGCAGCATCCCCACCCTGCCCCTTGCACTGGCAAGGCAGCCCCACTGGGGCAGCCTCCACGTCACCACAGCCCCCAGGGCCTCCAGGAGCAGACAGGAAAGCCTCCCAAAGCAGGGGCTGCAAGGTGAGGGGTTTGGTGCTGAGGAGCGTGGGGAGGCCACGGCTATAAATACAAGCACCCCCAGCAGGCAAACACGCCAGGGCTGCCAAGATAAAGCGCGCTCACCCCAGCCAAGAGCCAGCTGCAGGTCACCACCCGCGTGAAGGCAAGTGAAAAGGAACGCACCGGGCAAGCAGCACACGAACAGCGGCTGGGCAGAGGCCACCATTACCTCCAATGCAATAGTGAGGATACAACCTACCTTGCACAGCCACAGGAGCACCCTGACAGCCTCCAGGAGCCGCCTGCTCTCAGCTCGCTCCCTCCAGCACCACCCAGGGACTATTTATGGGGAGCTGAAGTCACTTGCACTTGGGCTCTGAAGTCACACTCGTCTCTTGTTCTATTTCTCCTGCTCTTCAAACTGTCACAGCACGGGTGCTATCTTTACCGAGGCAGTTGTCCCACACACACTGTGTCCCAGATGCACTTGGGTCGCTGCTCACAGCCAGGCGCTTTCCCAGCACCGGTTTCTCACCAGGAAGCGTGGCACGGCCACGGCACGGGGCTGCCAGCACCGGCTGGGCACCGAGCGAGGGACTGACTCACCCCCCAGCCCAGCCAGCAGGTGAGTATTTCACTGGAGCTCATTTGCAAGCTTAATAACGGGGAGCACGTCCAAAGTGCTCGAGTGGTGCTTGGGGTGCCTCTACTGAGGGGGCAGCCACAGTGTCCAGCCAATCCCCTCGGCAGGGAGCGTCCCAGCGGCTACTCCTCACATCCGAGATGCTCCCGGCCCCTGATGGCAGAGGTGGGCATCACCCTCCGGGGTCACCCAGCGACTGCCCGCATCTCTGTGGCCCCAGGGTCCCGCGGGCTGGTCCTGGTGGTACCGCAGCAAGCTCCGTGGTGATGAGATCCTTTCCATATGGGAGCAGCCAGCAGAGCTGCCAGCTCCCGGCTCCAGCGCTTGCTGCTACATCTGGAAACTCTTCTCACCCTTAATTGTGCTTAATGCTTTAACACGCGGAGTGACTAATAAGACAGTAATTGGTCGGCGTTAGCAGCGAGAGCCGAGGGGGGAGCGGGGCTGGCAGTGCCCTCGGAGCCGAGCCGGCGCGCTGCAAGCCCCGCAAATCCCGGCAAACCGCGGCGCTTTTCCCTTCCCGGCCCTTCCCCGGGCGCTGGTAAACCCGCCTCCAGCAGCGGGCAGAGCAAAGAGCGGCGGATGTCAGCTCTGCTCATGGCCGCAAGGGAGGAGACACAAGGTCCTCCCCACACCGGGCACCACGGGACGGGCTCCGACTTCCACTGCTCGCGGCAGCAATGCGAGAGAAGTGATGAACAGCTCAGCCGCTCCCGGTGATTTATGGCTGTGGGGAGCTGCCCCCATGATGCACCCGTGCCCCAGGGAACTGTGGGGTGACCCCCCCCCCGATCCTGGGGCAGTCCCCTGAGGGCTCATGTTGCTGCTGGACCTGCCTGTGCCCCTGCTGCCAGCCCTGTGCCCACTGAGCTGCTCCACAGCGGGAAATAGGCACAAATCTCGTTACACACTGGCTGAGCCTCCCCGGGCGTGTTTTCTATAAATCTCCCGGAATTTATTATATGATAACTAGCCTGGAAAAGCTAAATTAAATCCACCGCCAAGAAACTGGCTTTCGAGTGTGACCTAATTTACTCGCTGGGAGAGGAGGGAGGGAGCGGGGATCCCGGTGCCAGCCGTTCCCAGGATGACCTCCCGGTGCAGCCGCACACCCCCCGTCCTCCTTCTCCTCGCTGTGACTTTGGGGACGGAGCTGCGCAGCCTTTCATGTCTGAGCGGATCTCGCACTCCCACTCGCTGGAACAAAAGCGCCTCGAGGGCTCCCCTGTCAGATGTTTCTCCATTGCTCAGCTTCAGGCCTCCCTTTATGGAGCACTCTCCTCCCGGGGAGGCTCCAGCAGATTTGGGGATGATGGGGAGAGTGGCTGCAGGGGCTCCGCATTGATGCATTACTCCAGGCTGCTCCCACCACCCCAATGAGCCTCATGCATGGCACCGACACCAGCATTTGCAGCTCATGGCCGGCAACCCAAAGCCTTCATGCATGGCCCCGGTGAAGGAGGTGGCTCTCAGGAAGGGAGGTTTCAGGGCAGAGCAGAAAGCAGCAGGGAAGAAATCTGCCTGGGGAAGAGGCTCTGGTCTGAGCACAAGTGAACCCAGCTCTGCTCTGGCTCCCAGAGCGGGTCCTGGCTGCAACAGCTGCAAATTCCCACAGGATGGGAACTCATCTCCTGTGCAGGGACACAACAAACATCACCCCTGGGGTAAAAACCGACTGCAAACCCCCACAAACAGCAGCACAGCCCCAGCCCCATGACCAGTGCACTGCAAGGTCCCAGGAGAGGCACCCATGGCTCCGGCTCCGCATGGGGCACCCGTGACAGACCAGCTCTGGTGCACCATGGAGCTGTGGGCAGCCTTGCACGGACCCTTGTCCCACAGCCCCATGCTTCTCCCCCCCAGCAGAGGCTGGGCAGGACCAGGCATCGCCCTCGTGCTGCCACCCCTGTCCACTGCTGGGCTCAGATCTCTGTGCAGGCAATGCGGGCAGCACAGGCTGGGCCCGTGGTGAGGGCGATGTGGGCAGAGCGAGCCCGCGGTGCTCCGGCAGACCCGGGGGTGGGCTCGGGCTGGCACATGGGCTCGTGCTGTTGTTCTGGAACGGAGTGCACTGGCACAGCGGCATGTGGGAAGCTTGCATAATAGTGCCAGCCCACACTACGCCTGCTCCTTCCCAGTATGATCAGCCCCTCGCTTTCATGAGCAATAACATCCACCCAAAGTTTTCTAAAAGACAAGGGAAAAAATCTTCAAGGTGATACACAGAGCTCAGCTGCCTTTGCTGCCTTCAAACTGATTAATGCAGCTGGGGAAATCCATCTGCACAGCCTCTTTGCAGAGGCTTCTCTAATCCCCCTCTTGGGACGACCTCTGCCCTGCCGAGGGATGAGGATGCTCAAAATCTCGCTCCCTATTTGAAGATTCCTGAGCACGCTCTTGGGACCAGGGCAGAGGAGAGCAGCTCTGCAAGGCAGGGACGTGCGGCTCCCCAGCACCAGGACCCTGCCACTGCCCCACTGGCAGCCCTATGGAGCAGAAGGAGCTCAGCCCACAGGGCAGGACTAGAATCTCCCATTCCCATCCCATGAGGAGCAGAACAGCCGTGGCTTCTCCCTGTGATGCCCCTTTCACCAGTTGTCTCACGGAGCCTGAGCCTTGGGCACTTGTGCCTCTATGGGTGGGTATGGGGTCTGTACTCAGTGCCAGTGCAAAGCTGAACCGGGGGCTGCTGCAGCAGGCACAGCCTATGGGAAGCAGCAGATTCATCCTCCACCAAAAACCATTCCCAGGCCCCCCCTCAGTGGAGCCACGTACCTGGAGGCCACGAGCAGGAACCTGGTGCTGTGGTCGCAAGCAGGAGCTCACACTCGCCTTTGCCCCTCGGAGCTGTCTGGAAGAGCCTTTGGGGTCTCACAGCAGCAGTTCCTTGGCCTGAAAGAGAGAGGGAGAGGCTCCAGTCCTGGCCCTGTGTGGGCACCGCTGCTGCTAACGGAGGAGGACACTCTGAACACCAGGGATGGCTTCCAGGCGCTGCTTCTTTAACAGCACAATCATCTCACGCTGGAGAGAGCTTTGGAGAGTGGCTCCATTGCCCACCATGCACAAAGGCACCCTGGCAGCAGGACCCTGCCCACCACAAAGCCCCCACAGAGGGGGAATCACATCCAGCCCCAGGGAACGGCTGCAAGGGGTGCACGGAGGGTCCCCAGCAGGACCATGTCCCAGTCTCTGCACTGATGCAGGATGCTGAGGCTGGTTCTGCTTCCCCAGGGAGCCTCAGCAGAGCACATGGAATGGATACAAGGAAATGCAGAGGCTTCTTCCTAAGGGAAAAATACCCCTCCCTGTCGCCACCAGAGCCTCCTCCTCAGCATCCTGCAGTCCCACATCACACTCAGCAGGTCTGAGTTGTTTTTCCCTGACCCAGGTTGAACAGGAGATAATTTAACAGCTTGTCCCCCCAGGCAGCCCATCCATCCATCCATTCATCCATCCATCATGGCACCGACAGCAACATCCACCCCACAAACCTCGCCAGGCAGCCCCTGCCTGCCGGGAATTCCTATGCCTGCACTGCACAGCAGGAAGGGCTCTGCACGCTGGGAGCGAGATTTATCCCCTCAGCAGAATAGGGGGCAGAGGCCGAGAGATAAGTCACAGCAAAGCTGCAGGAGCGTCTCTCAAGGTCCTCCAAGGTTGGCTCATTAAAAAGCGAGGAGAAGAGAAAAGGAAAGAAAAATGCCCGCAGTGGTGTGGCTCACGGATCATCCTCCTGCCTCCAATGAGCCGAAACCGAGAGGGAAACAGAAATGGAGCTGGGATGCCCTGGGCTGGCTCTGCAGCAATCCCCAGAGGCAGTCACCGGCATTCCCCAGTCATCCATCCCAGCAACATCCCAACAAATGAAGCAGCATGTGCCTGAACAGGGATGCCTGTTCCCAGCAGAGCAGGAGCGTGGCAGCCCTGGGGGCAGTCAGAAGGGGCAGGAGAGATGGAAAGCAGCTGATGGCAGCCCACAGGCTCTTGGATGCTGGCCCGGGGGTGGGGGGGATGAGGAAGAAGACGGGCAGACGGATCTCAAACACAGCACAGAACTGCCCCTGCAGTCTCGCAGCCCCCTGGGAGGCCTTGGCCAGTGCTGCTGGGCTTGCTCCATCAGCACCAAACACGGGCAGGCACCTGCCACCACTTTGAAGACAGACCACAGAGAACCCCCAGAGAATGGTTTAACAGCACAGGAGCTCCCCAAACTTGCTGGAATTCCTCTTCTGCCTCATTAGTCCTGCTCATCCGGCTCTGCTCCTGATTAGCATGCAGAGCTTGAGCACAGCTCAGCAGTGGGGAGCTCCAGCTCCCCAGCCCCACCACCCCAACACTGGGGTGTCCCCTTCAACACTGGCCTGTCCCAGCCCAATCCCACGGGGTTCCTCCCCAACACCTTATTTCCAACACAAACTCATTCAGCCGCAGCTTCCAGGCTGTCATTGCAGGGTTTACCCAAGACCAAAATAACCCCCCCCGTGCACAAGCAGCGAGGGCAGGACACGATCAACACAGGGAAAACCCAGCGGCATCCCTCAAACAAGCTGAACACAGTCATGTTTTTTCAGCACCTTCTATTTTCAAAAGCAAACCCACGGGTGTGCAGAGGGACGATGGAGCTGACGCATTCCCCACCGCGGCAGGGACATGTTCCCCCCGCAAACGAGCAGTCCAGCCCCAGGAGGGGAGCGGAAGCGGATTGTGGAGCCCCACAGGGCATCTCCCCAAGAACCACCAGGCTTTTACCACACAATAAAACACTGCGATTACATCTGCAAGCCAGCCCCAGGAAGGCTAAGAGGTTTTATCAAAGCCAGCAGCACCCCAGGGAGGAGATGGAAAGATGCAGCTGCCCGCAGCATCCGCAATCCCAGGGCCGGCCTGGCAGCTGCTGCTGCTGTGGAAAGGGCAGGATGAGGGGTGCAGGACAACGGGTGCAGGATCAGGGCTCATTTTTAGGCTGAGCCCCAGCCACAGCCCCTCGCTCCTGGGAGGATGCTCGGCCCCAGCCCAGCACTGTCCATTGGACCCCACCATGACAGTGGGGTGATGGAGATACCCCTCTCAATGGGGCAGTGCTGGGGAGGACAGAGGGGGTTTAGGCCGAATTCCCGCAGTGGTTTTTCCCTTGGTTGCGGAGGAGGGGGAGAGTGGAATTGCCTTTCAGCAGCAAATGCAATGAAGCAGCACTCTGAGCCTGTGCAGCCAGAGATATGGCTCCTGCTCCAGCCTGGATCAGGAGCTATTTCCCACTTATCTGCGCCGAGCCTGCTATCTGTGCAGCAGAACACGGCACTTGGTAATAGGATTTTGATGCTGAACAGAAGATGTTCCCCCACCCCAAGTCTCACTTACGTCACAGTTGGAGGTATCCATGTCCATAGAGGTGACACGGAGGAAGGCTAAAGAGTTTCAACTCCTGCGCTGAGAGAGCAGCTTCTCCTCTAGCTGCAAAACAGCAGAATTAAAGCAACCTAATATTACCTGCCTGCTTTGTGCCCCAACTCCAGCACAGTCCTGGGGAGAACATCCCTGTGGCAGCAGCCCCCCAGCACCACAGCCCTGGCAGACCCCCATGGGAGCAGGCAGAGCCCCCCCCCGCGCATCACCCGCTCTGCTGTCGGCTGCATCCCGCACCACGGGGACCTCCCACACGCCGCAGCAGCAGCAGGATCCAGGCTTTGGGTGGCACATCCCCGCTCACAGCTGCCTGAGGGGAAGGGGAGGAAGGATTGTCACCTCCCTGCCGCCCTCCTCCCACCGCAGCCAGAGGAAGGTCCCACGCAGCCCCGCCGCCGGAGCGGGGAAAGTCTCTGCCTGCCACAGACAGAGCCGAAGGGACGGGAACCACCCCCGCCCGGCGCGGGTGACATGCCACCCGTGGGAACGCTGCCGGCGCGGCGTCAGGGCTGTCACCGCGGCGTCAGGGCTGTCACCGCTTCCCACGGCGCAAGCCGGGCGGATGAGGGGCACTTGCAGGCAAGGCACAGGCGGGAGGCTCGCGGCGCTCACAGTGGGGCTGGGGAGAGGAAGGTCCGGGCTGAGAGCCCGCTCATGGGGTGCAGCCTCACCGTGGGCGCATCACAGTCCCGAAAAGGCTGCGAGCGGGCAGAGGATGAGGAGCCAGAAGGAAGAGGCTCATTAGGAGCCAAGCAGGGAGGCGAGCGGAGGCTCTCAGGGGGCTGGGTGCACCCCTTCTCGGAGCGTTTGCATTTTCCTAGCCCAGCTCTGGAGAGCAGGGAGTTACCACAGCCTCAAGAGCCCCGCTGGACTAAAGGTGCATTACGATTAGATGAAAGAGCTGTGAAAAAAAAAGGAAAAGACAGGCAAGGAATGGAATCTTGAACTAAAGGATGGAGAAAATAGGCCCAGAAAGTGCCATGGGAGCCACGGGGTGGGAGACAGAGGGGATACATCAGTCCCTGCCCCCCCCGCCTGCCAGCCAGGCACAAACCTGTGGGGCACCCCCCCCCCCCCCAGGCTTTACAGGTCTACAGCCCTCTGGTTTCCAGTTTTGAACTGAGGAACTCCCCCTCTTTGCCTTCACTCGTGCCCTGATGCTCGGAGGCAGAGCAGCTGCTAAGGCAGGGCTGGGGTGCTGCTCCCCTGGGAACCCCTGGGCTGGGCATGGCACCCACTGAGTGCAGAACTGCTCTGCAGATGCACCTCTGCCATGGACCATGGTGACAGCCACCAGCATTAGGGTCCTGCACCACCACAGCCAGTGATGGCACCAGCGGTGATGGCCAGGGAAGAGGGTGCCTCTGCCAGCCCCACCAAGGAGCACCCTGGCGCTGAGGGAGTGAAGCACAGCACCGTGCAGTGAGGTGAAGCAGCGGTGAAGGCTGAGCCACCACAGACCCCATCCCAAACGATGCGCAGCGTGTGCCAGGAGCCGGGGCAGAGCCAGGACTATGCTGCAGCCTGCTTCTCTGCACAAGTGCATTAGGTATTCTGCACAGCACTTTTGCTGTAAATCACTTCCTATTCAGGCTCACTGCTGAGGGTCTCTGAAGGTCGATTTTCCATGGTTATGACAACAAAAACTAAAATTGGGTCAAACCTGAAAGGTATTATCTTCCTCCAAGCTGCTAAATGCACAATAGTAATGAGGTTGGTTAAGCAATTCACCCACAGACTGCATTATTTGCTCTGAAGATGTATTAACCAGTTAAATGAGCGTGATAAGGCAGCTCTGCTTATTTCTCCCACCAGCCACACAGAAGATCTGAGGTTCTGGGTCTCTGTATCCCGGCTAATAACCGGGACCGCAGCCACGCTGACAAAGGCGGCCGGCGCCACGCCACTGGGGCCAGGCCCTGCCCGGCCTGTCTGCAGGAGCACAAAGGCAACTTTAGAGGCACACACAGGCTGAGAGCCATTTGGGGAAGTCATTACACTTCCTCCCTCCCCTTTCTCTTTCGTCTTCTAAAACGCTCTCCCCCACCCGACTTCCTTGTGGAAGGGGATGGAGCCGCTGCCCACCCCGGCTGAGGCAGGTTTCAGCAGCAGCCCCGCTCCGGGATGGGATTTATCCCTGCAAGTGCATGTGGCAGAGCCAGTGGTTTGGCATCTGCGCCTGCTGCTGCTGATGTGTGGGACCCATCCCACAGTGCTGCGCCTTGCAGCCTGTACCCAATGGATGCTGGAAGTCACTGTGGGAGCTCTCCATACCCACCACTGGGGATGAGGGACAGAGGCTGCCCAGGGCACCCCCCTCAGAGCCTCCACTCCAACAGGGCCACAGTGCCCACGTGAGACACAAAGAACATTTGTTTTTGTGGGAATTCTGCTGTTTTCCCTAAAACAAAAACCCATTAATGTAAATGTAACTGATGTAAACAAGCACAACCCTAAAATCCACGTGCAGCTGAATGCAATGGGGGAGA